AAAGAGAACAGAGAAGAACTCAGGGAAGAAGAAAATGGAAATGTTATTCAAGCTTCATATTCTGATCCGTCGTCCCAGAGAAAAGGAAACAAAGTATATATATACACACCATACTGAGCTGCCTAACTAACCAAAAATATCTAGCCTAACAAACCAAAAATATCTAAGCTAGAAAGTAGGGACAATTAGTTAGGAGAATTGGACAGCTGGCATGGACAGGTGGCATATCACTGATGTATCTTCACACCTTTCTATCAACGCACTCTGAACAATCATAAATGTTCAAAGGATCTCCGAGCTTTGCTTGGCTGAAAACGTGAGAAATACAATTAGTGCACTCTTTCAGGAGTATTTTAATCAAAATTTACTGTTTATCAAGTTCAGCAGCCATCATACCCTGCTGATACATCTGATATAGTTGCCCTGACAAGTGCAATGTGAACAATAACCTGGAAAAACAACCAGTGCAATCGCAAGAAAGAATGAGCTTTACCAAGACATCTATCTATCTGAATTAAGTATACGCCTTCCGTCCCATAAAAACCTTGACACTTTTATTTCACAGAGTTTAAGAAAGTTGTTGAAAAGTAAAAAAAAGTGTGGTTAGAATTTGTTTAGAGGAGATAAATTTATTGGTATCACATATTCACTACCAAAATAAGGAATAAAGTAAGTGTAAGGTATTTTTGGGACATCCAAACAAGGAAAGTGTAAGAAATTTCATGGGACGGAGGGAGTAGTAGCTTTACAATACATACAAGAATACGGTCCAACCATTTCAAAGGACACTTATATGCTCGCTGATTAAAATTAATTTGTCCCGAAATATAAATTATGTGGGCAGCAAGCACAAATGAGTTGTTCACTAAGTGCAGTGTCATAGCTCATCAAATAAAACTTAGAGCTCACTGATCATAAATGAATTGCTCACTAATTCACCATGGATGTGCAATATCTTGTACCTTTGACGATTGTATGATACTATGATAGAATTTTCCAATAAAATGGTGCAGTTTGTTTTGCACATTTTCCGCCAAAACTGACAGAGTCTAGAGGGTCTCAATGTTTTATTTTTTGCTAAAGCATCTGTTTTTTTTATAGTAAATTTTAGTCTTCTTCGTTTTTTCAATGAAATGTAACATGGGAGTTCTGCAGTTTTCTAAAGTTGCCCGAGAATGGAATGGTGAAAACAGCTCTGTAATCTCTGTAAATTGAACTAAAAAAATTCACTTCTTTGGCACCACCAATCCAGCATCTAAGCTTAAACTTCTCTTTTGCCTAAGAAAAAATCTAACAAAAAAATTGCAGATTTCTTGATGTAATAGAAAAATCTACAAACACTTTAGCTTAACAGATTACTCCTAAAATCTAAAGGAAACTGACAAAAGAACAGTTTAGAAAAAACAAACAACAAGATTCACAGCCGAATCAGTCACTGGAAAATAAAAATAGATATATTCGCAAAAATGAAGAAAAAATTATAACAAAGCAAATGCTTACCAGAAACTTGAAGATAAGAGACGAAGAGCGGTGTTTGATGAGCATCTTCGAACAGAAATGGCTATCCCGTAGATCTAAACAATATCATCAATGATTATATCGTCTACTAGATGTGCTTCGTATCTGCATTTTTGAGAAAGGATATATCGTTTTTTCAAGAATATTTGATGAGATTGGAGCGCAGAACTAGAAATTGCTGATGATGGATATAGGCAGGTCTCATTGAGGAGGAGGAGGATTATAAGTTTTTTATTTAATGAAGAGATTAAAATAGAAATAAAGAAAAATCTAATTTTTTTAATTTGTGTTATTTAAAGATTGAGAGATAAATAAAAAATAAAATTTATATAATTAAAAACTACATTAAAAGTTTTGCCAAACAAAATGTTATATTAATATTTTATTTTATCAAATAATCAATGAAAATACACAAATAAATAAAAATTATTTATTTTATCAAATAATTAATAAAAATGCACAAATAAATAAAAATTACCTTAATTTTGGAGGGAGTAAGTTTTATGTTTTTATTTTTATGATATAAATTAAAATGCATATATAGTGGCAATCATGATTATATATATTAACAAAGAGTATTATAAAATTTTCATATATGATGTCAATTACTAGAATGCAAACTTTTATTCTAAGATAAAAATATAAAATTTTTATTTTGATACTTTCTTTACATTTTATTCCTATTTGGACTGATTACGGAGTACTTTTTATAGGGAATAGTCTAAATACCATTTTGATTAATATAGAAAATTAAATATATTATATAATATTCGGTAATACAATAGGCTTACTATAGTATTCTAATATTAGAAATATATCATAAATTTATTATATGAAATTATTAATACAGAGTATATTTGTAATAGTATATTTAAAGAAATAACACAACAAGTCTTTTAATTTTGGAATCTAAAATCGTGTTATGGTCCGGGCACTTACAATGCATCGTTGGCAAAATTGATTTTTTCATATCAGTTAAACCACACACCACTACCCTCTACACCAGGACCTCTTGCCCCTTCCCTCCTTCTAAATCATCGATTCGAGTAGTCCAAATCGATAATTCAAGGAAGGTAGTGAGTCTTTTTAAAATTGTGAAAACTTAGTGTGGTGCAAGGAAACAATGGTGGGATTTAGGTGTTTAAGAGACTAAGAACCTCAATTTTACCAACAGAACATCCTAAATGCCATTGTCATAATATAAACTTGGGTTAAGATCCTTACCGTAGAAATAATAAAAATATACAGAGTATAAGAGAATAAAGAATAGAGAAGAGTATGAGAGATAGAGAAAATAGATAAGAGTTGTGTTATTTTTTAAAGAAAAATGATAGGTATTTATACGTTTTTTTTTACTCTTTCCCCAACAGCCCCACCATCCCTTCCCAACTCCCCCCCACACTTTAAATTCAAAAAACTATATCAATTCAGAATCAGGCCAGAACCGAAATCAGCTGGTCTTGGTACCTCTCTCCCTCGGAATCAGTATATTGTTCTGGTTCTGCTACCGATGTGAAACTGGACACATGTTTACCTTAACTCATTTTGCATCATTAGATTAAAAAAAATATGAACAAGTAGTATTTTATAATTAAGTCAATAACACAAAAAAGATACCCGGAATATTAATTTTATATTAAAAAACTTATCTTTTAATGAAGAAAAATTATACTCATTTTGAAATATGGAGTAACTCAATGATCAAATGAATAACATGTAATTTAGTTAAGAATATCAACATTTTCAAATCAAATTTATTTTGAAAAGTTCAAATTCAAGCATAAAAATATTTCTAGATTAAAAAGGAAAAGAAAAACAAAGCCAAAAAGTGAACTACCATGTTTCCAAACCGGCCCGTAAAAGGTAGAAAGATAAATAGGGAAAGAGAACCGTTATAAAAGTAAAAAGCGCCTAAACCTAGCCTCTGTCCCCTCCCTCCGTCCAAAGCCCACTCCCAGAACCCCAGTCCCGGCGGCGGCGGCGGCGCGATGGGCTCTCAAGCTCCGGCAGCGAAATCGAACGTAGTCCTCATTCTGGACTACGGTTCTCAGTACACCCACCTCATCACCCGCCGAATCCGAAGCTTATCGGTTTTCTCCCTCTGCATCAACGGCACCTCCTCGCTGGAGACCATCACCAAGCTTGAGCCGTCCGTCATCATCCTCTCCGGCGGCCCTCACAGCGTCCACGCCGATGGAGCTCCGTCGTTTCCGCCGGGATTTATCGAATACGTCGAGTCTAGAGGCGTGTACTTGCTCGGAATCTGCTACGGCCTACAGCTGATTGTCCAGAAGCTCGGAGGCGTGGTGAATGTCGGGGAGAAGCACGAGTATGGGCGAATGGAGATTGAGGTTGTGAAGGGAGGATCTGAGCTGTTTGGGAACAGGAGTGTTGGGGATAGCCAGGTTGTTTGGATGAGCCATGGGGATGAGGCTGTCAAGTTGCCCGATGGGTTTGATGTTGTGGCTCGGAGTCACCAAGGGGCAGTGGCTGCTATTGAGCACAGAGAAAGGAGGTTCTATGGGTTGCAGTATCATCCTGAGGTGAATATACTCCTTTCATTCATGAAGAAAAAGTTGAATGAATATGGACATACATCATGTCTACATTCATTTAACTTTTTTGATATACTCCGAATCACAATAGTTAAATGTGAATGGAGGGAATAGTTTGGTATACATTTGATTCTTTGTGGTCTCAAAAGTTTGAAGACTTTCATGATTGATTCTGCAATTTGTGTTCGTGAACTGCTTAATGAAGTCTCAATATGGTAGTCGTAATACCTTGGTTTAGCTGTATACATTAATTGAATTGGGAGTTTAGGATAATAATGATTTGTTCACAAGACAATATAGTAGTACTTCCTGGTGTAAAAAAACACAAAACAATATTACTAATGTTATAGAAAGTAGTAATAAGTATTAAATATAATCATACGAGTATTAAAAGTTAGGTCTTGCTACATTCATACTAAGCATAACACCAAGTGAAAATGACTGTCTGTGCGTGCTTGTCTATGGTGGTGAGGTGGTGTCAACCTTGGTCTCACACCCCTTGAGTCAGAGTAGCATTTTTTTAAATGTTTTCAGTTTAGGCCTAATTGTATTACTTTTAGAGGGTTTGTATTTGTAGTTGGCATATGCTTGTTGTCATATATAGATATATTTCTACATGATAAGGAATGCTAAAACCATTGAATAAACTGTGGGTTTAGTTTTGTACTGTCTTTTCAGTGCTTTAATGAATCTAAAT